ATAGTGTAAGTGCTACAGGTAAGTGCAGAGAGGTGCAGGCGGCAGAAGCCCTGAGGATGACTCCCCTGCAGGTGGAGGCCTGAGACGCTGATCCGGACGCCACAGAGAGGGCAGCGTGTGGCTGAGCCCTGGGGGCCATGCCCGGCAGAAGAGGGCACAGCAGCAGAGAAAAGCACACAGGGCTGCCCCCGAAGCAGGAATGTAACGGCTTAAGACAGAACGAGGGGGTTGCTTTTCTAGAAGGCAAGTGGAGTGCTTTAAGCAGGACAGGGCCCTGATTACGGCTGGGAGGTGAGGAAGGTGGGGGGCATGGATGGGTCAGGAGGCTGCAGGATCAGCTCAGGTGACTGGGAAGGGCTGGAACTGTCACTGGCAGTGGTGCCGGGGAACTGCAGAGCAGGTGATACTCATGTTTCCAGCTTGGTGAGCAAGTCCACAGCAGGGCCACACAGCAAGGAAAAGAACTGAAGAGGCAGGCGTCGGGAAGGAGGCCCTAGTCTTGGCCCTGTCACCCTGAGTTCCTGGCAGACAGGTGGGGAGCCTATCACAGGACTGAGGGCTGTCAGGCCACCGGTGTGGACAGAAGCCCCAGTCAGGAGGTGTGACAGTCTGGGAGGGAGAGGTGAAGGAGGGGTAAGGCCAGTGGCTGCTGCAAGGCCTGCACCAGTGGGCAAGTGTACCTGGCAGGCTGCCCTGGGAGACCAGCCATCCAACCCAGGACCAGAGTAAGTCCAGATCCCTCAGGAGCTGGTCTGGCCCTTAGTGACACCCGAGGACAACACAACTGCAGAGAAGAATAAGCAGGGTCTCATTAAACCTGCTGGCAAGGAAGGAACGGACCTCCGGCATGGCGCACACATCTCACGCTTCTGAGAGTCGGCATCTGGCGTGGTCCTTGGGGCACAGGAGCACAGGGCCAGGGGCACCAGCGTCTGCACGCAGCATTCTCAGTGCAGGCTCCCCGACGGCACCAGGACAGGGAGCCAGGAAAGACCTGGCGTTCCCATGCGGGCATGGCTGGCCAGGGCACTCAGGCTCCCCCTGCAGAAGTCACCAAGCCTGAGACGGGCTGGCAGGAACAGAGAAATTCCCACTCCTGCGTGTTGTCTTGGCCAAAATCCAACCAGAAAGTAGAGCCTGTGATGAGGGTTTGTGGGTAAAAGTTCGATTCTGAAAATGACCTCAGGGCAGAGGATGGGGGCAGGTGGTCGGGGGACAGCAGGAAAACTGTGAGGGAGCATTTCTCTGTCGGTCACCGCCGGGTCCAGGAGGCCGGGGCTGTGCTGGCGTCCGGGATGGGCTGATGGGCTGTCCGTGGAGCCCAGAGGCCCAATGCCCCACCTGCCGTTACACCCTGAGGCTCTGAGCTCTCCTGGCTTCCCTGATCTGGGACCCAGGACTGTCTCCTGCCCCCTCAGCACCTCTGCTCACACACACGCGTCTCTGGAGCCCTTCCCCCCCACCCCGCCTCCGGAACCCCTCACCCTTAGCTTGCTGTCCTTCTAAGTCTAGAAAGACCAAGCCTTCGCTGCCCACTCGGTGCTGCCCCAGTGAAGTCCAGAAGCAAACAGCTGCCACCTGTCTGTCCCCCACCCCTGCAGACCACCTCCTGGCGAGAGAGCCCAGGGTCCAGGCTGGGGCACCTGCGCCCCCCGTTCTGTTCTAGGAGCACTTCCTTAAGGCACACGTGGAGGTCTCCCAGCCTTTGATGTCCCGTCCTGGGGGTCACCTCAGGTCCTGTCCAAGTGGGCAGGGCCTTCTCTTCAGCAACACTGGGCATGCTCTCTGGTGACGTGCTGTAACTGAGTCCACCACGCAAGGAACTCCGACAAAACAAGTGCCACGTACACCCCTCTACACGATGCAGTCGCACCCAGAGAGCGAACCCACCTGTGGATTTTAAAAGTGGGAGGCAGTGCCGGATTCGGAGAAGCATGATCTAACCAAACCCTACATTCCAGCTAAGGGACCACAGAGACGGACGGCACAGGCGCCCGACATGCTCCTCCCGTTGCTTGGCGGTGCTGAGATCGGGGCTGTGTCCGTTCGGGGCTGACCAGAGGCAACCAGCGCGGTGGTCCTGCCGCTTCACTGCACGGTCCAGGGCTGTGCGGGGGCCAGCACCCCGGTGTCTGAGCCCGGTCGAGCTAGGAGAGAAATTAGTCATGGGGAAACATTCCTCTCACTGAACCCATCCATTTAAGCCCTCGACCACTGCAAACTCTGCAAACGCACGTATTTCAATTTGACCCCAACCATAAGACCACTGTATGGATTATAAGATAACAATGTAGTTCAGCTGGCGCTAAAGGCGACAGCGCCCCGGCTGCGCCCCCACCAGGTGGCTCAGACGCTCAGAACCCCAAGGCTCGGTGCAAAGGGCAGGGAAAAATCCACTTTGTACTGGGGTGGGGTATGGCTTTGATGGAGAATGGAGGGTCAGAAATTCTTTTGTTTCATATTTTATTACATCAATGGCTTGAAAATTTTTATTTAACTTCAGCAAATATTGGAAATAGAAAAATGAATTCTGCAGAATTTCACAAATAAATTTTTCAATCTCTACTAACAAATGTTATCATTCAATGGCTAAGCAATTATAATGCTATGAACATTCACCACAATGAATGTGCTGAAATAGAAAACAGGCAAAAAGAAACATTAAAATATTACTTACAACAGCGTTAGTACAACATATTTTCTTTAAAATTCCAACATGGATTTTTATCACTTCAAAAGATATACAGCATTTCCATTATATTTGCAAACTTAACCTTATACATCTTTTAAAATCTTGGAAAAATTTTAAGCAGTCTAAAAAAGCACTTAGCAAAGTTGGTAAGTGTACATAATGGAACCCTCTCCACTCCAGCATAACCCTTACTGTTAGCAGAAGGCGGCTGTAAACACTGCTCACCATACAACATGCATAGACAATACTGACCTTCCTTCCCAACTGTCACGTGGCTGCAAATTGTGCTTTACGATAATTAGGAAAAGCCGCAGAGATCCAGGGAGTGGCAGAAAGAGTATTTGTTTTTGAGCATTGCACAATACCACTAGATTCAAATTAGCTAACTACCTTGAATCAACTTGAGGCAAAATTTCGCTGGATATTAAGCTTGACTCCTGGGTCACTTGATTTAGAAACAGGCTAGATAAGAGAAAGGAGGCTCTCACAGAGCTGGTCCATCTGTCCTTCGCTCACAGATCAGGGGTCCAGTTAGTGTAATGCACGGGTTGGCTTATTTTTGGTATACAGTTATACCAAGAGTACATCTGATATTCAGAAAGACAAAAACAGGGCAGAGTTGAAATTTAAAGTGACAATGAGCACACTCAAGAGTGGTGTGATATTTGAGAAAACTTTGCATACACAGAAAACAACTGCTTCATTAGTCCACCACAGAAAGCTCTTAAAACTCAACTGTTTCTCTTTTTCATTTTTTGACTAGAAGTTTATGACCATCAAAGGGTCCGACAGGTTAAAAACTATCCAGAGCCATCCTGAGGAACTGGCGTCCGGGGGGCATGAACGCACTGAACAGTGCAGCCGGGGTGGGCGGGGCCGCCCCAGCACCAGGCTCGCAGCCGCTACTCATCTCATCAGCGCGGCTGGGGCCTGGCTGCTTCCTGGTTAAAAGAGCCATCTTACAGAACCCATCACTGTTTCAGACCAGTCAACACAATATTCAAGTAACAAGGTGTTTAAATGAGTAAGTGAAAAAACCTTTTACCTGACACTTCACACATCTATATAAAATTAAATAAAACAAACTTTTAATGCATATGCAATACAATTTGTATATTTCAGGATTTCTAAACTAAAAGTTAAACTATCATTTGCTTCAATGGTACTATATTCTGCACAATAACTTATACTTAGGAGAAATTTTCCACAAAAAATATATATAATTATGACATTCACATTGATAATGTTTAAGAAGACACTGCATCAGAAGCAGCTGTCACTGTGGACCTTACACGTCCAATACAACCTGCTGATGCACCCAAGTCTTGATATGTTAAAAAGGGTCTTCCCTTAAATAAGACCACATCACTCGGCTTCTAAAGCTAAGTGACTTCTTGCATTTACGTCATCGCAAAGACAGTGTAATGAAGCAGTTTAAAACACAGTGCTACCTTACGCATGGAACTACACCGGTGGCGGTCAGGCCGAGACAGCTCTTCTTCCTTTCTGGCCGGGGAAAACGACATGCCCCTTCCCCGTGAAGAGAAAGCCAGAACTCAGCCGCTGTGACCCCAAGTGCGCTAGCACAGTGACCCTTCGGGACTGGAGACCACTTGGTACCAGGAACAGAGAAAGGGACAGAGCACAGCACAGACAGAGGCCCGGCAGAGCCGGCGTGCCTGCCACGCAGCACAGGAACCGGCATCAAGCCTGCAAGCGCTGCCACACAGACCGATTCTTAAGGAAAACAGACTGGGGGTGAAGCGGTGAACCACCTACCGCTCCCACCAGGGGGACGGCGGTCTGGGAGAGAAGTGAGGAGATGAGCTTCAGATCAGGCCTAGGGTCCCCTTCGAGCCACGTGCAAACTTGCGCCACCTCCTCCCCAGGTTTTTCCTACCAGTGTCCAGTTACGCAGCAGGCTTAGGACAAAAACAAGACCCCGAGGCGGTTACTAGTGTCGTCAAGCGGGGCGCACTGTGACTGGTGCTGCTCCTCCCCTGCTCTCCCCGGCCCCGCAGGCACCCGAGCACCGGGACAGGACAAAACTGGCCAAGTCCCAACTTATTCTTTTGAATGACCTTTCTCCAGATTTCTAAGAAACGAAGTACAATTCCAAACAATCTAGGTTTCTTGCTGACCCTTCCTAAAGAGAAAATCAGCTCACCAAAAAAGACAAAAAAAGGAGGGGGGGGGGAAGCAAGGTGCTTGGGATTCAAAACACATCAAATTTAATTGCATATTTCAAATTCTTAAGAATCCTGTTTATGCCTTAAAGCATCCGCATTCTTTTTCTTTTTGGTATTAAAAATACGAAAAATATTTAATTGATGCAAAAAACAACAACAAAAGCTCCTTTGACGTTTTTAGTGCAGGCTGAACTGACCGTGGAGTGAGGACCGCGTCATGTGAGAACGCAGTGTGACAGTCTACAGCCCTCAACCCCTCAGCAAGTCCACGGTGGTCTGGCAACACAACAGAAGCGATTCTGGAAGTTTCAGAACATTTATTAGACATTTTTACTTGTTCCCAGTCCAACCCAAAGGCATTACATACCACTTTGGAGATTGTTTCTTTCCATCTTGGTCTCACTAGAACCAATAAACTGACACTTCTGTCCTGTACTGTGATGTGAGAAGAGAGGGTGGCGTTCATGTGCTCACACCAGTGTCTGAAGGACAGAGGCCAGCATGGAGTGACAGGTGGAAGGCCAGGCACACCAAGAGGATGGGGAACAAATGCACAGCTTTCATAAAACCACCACTAGCTGTTCTAACACCTTCATTGCTGCGCTAACCTGACGTTTAAAATCCGTGTTCTGTCAAGAATCTGCAGCAAGTTCTCCCCTGTCTCCTAATCTCAATGATGTCATCTTTGGCAAGCAATAAACCTTAAAGAAGAAATAAGACACTAAAACAGAAAAAAGGGCTGATAACATGGTTGCCAAAAGGAGAAGGCACCAATTCCAAATGTACAAGCACCAGGTACAGTGGTACGGACCAGATCTCTTGGAGCTGGGGGTGGGGGCAGAGGGTCAGGAAAAGATGGGGTGGCGCCCATCCTGGGATGACAATGCTGAGAGCTGAAGGCAGAGTGTTGAGGTCCACGTTCCCTTTAAGCTACAGTGTCCAAGGACAGTCACTGTGGGTGAGCTTTCTACCACTCGGGGAGGGGGAAGGAAGAGATTTAAGCCGACTAAATTTATAAACCATAATTATACCTACATCTAGGGAAACGTGAGTTATCAGGACGTTTGGCACAACAGAGGTTATAATGCAGGCTGCCAATATGCTCTGATTCCCAAAGAAGCATGACACCACTTAGGTGGATGCCTCAGAAAAGGACAAGGGGCACTCTCTAGAAGGCCAACAGGGTCAGTTACTGAAATGATACTATGCACAAAGTAGAGATTGCAGGCCATGCAGGAACGGAGTCGTGCCTTCGGAGTCGACTGCCTGTTCTGAAGCTGCTGAAGGGGCCCAGGCGCTTCGACCGAGGTGGTGGTCCCCAAGTCCCCAGAGTGGCAGGAGGCTGCAGGCACGGGAGTTCCCCACACTCAGGCAGAGTGAGTGAGAGGTGCGGCAGAGCTCTCCGGGGAGTGGCGCCAAAGTGGAGGGACGAGCAAAGAATTAAGGCAGATGGAGCACAGGACTGGAAGTGTATGCCTTTTTTGGTAATAGCTGCTTGTCCACGGAGATGTGATGCAGATGGCTAGGGGACGTCTTGTAATACCTGAATCCTGGACAGTTGTCCATACCAAGTGCTCAAAGCTACCGGAGTTTCTCATGAGGCAGATGCGTATCTGACGTCAAGAACAGGAGCAACCTGAGGAGAGGAGGAGAAAACAGAATCAGAGAGCAGGTAACGTGTGCAGAAAGCGGGAGGGGGTGTGGGGAGGCCCCCTCCCAGTCCTGCAAACACCTCAGGGCAGGGCCCCTGGGGGGTGGAGGCGGCTGCGCCCAGGGCAGGGCAGGAGCATGGCCTCTGCTCAGTCCTGGTCTTGCCACTTCCCAGCTGCGTGTCCTTGGATGAGTCATCATTTCTTCCTGAGCTTCAGTTTCCTCGTCAGCAGAATGTACACAGTAACGATGCCTACTTCACAGGATGAAATAAAACCCCCTGAAAGGGCACCCCGGCACCGCGCCTGGCAGACAACGCCCAGGTGTGGCAGCACTGGCGGGAGGGACACCGCGCACCTGCCCCACACCTGCTGGGGAACAGGAGACACCTGGGATCACAGGGTCTTCACAGCCTTTCTTGACCCCCCTCACTTTTCAAGACTGATCCCCGGACCCAAACCTAACGGTCATCCGGCATCCCGGAGCTCACTGCTGCCCTCCGGCTATCTCACTACCAAGGAAACAACAGCTAAGAGTCCAAAGCCTGCAAACAGAATAGCTGTGCCTTCAGGTGAAATCCCACTTGCGAGAACTGCTGGTAGTCAACCCAGGAGGCTTCCTAGCACAGTCATTCTGCAGTTTCAAGTGAGAGTCTTCACATCCAATCCAGTCATCTTCAGCATCTCTCTGTGCCTTCCCGACTCCCACTGTACTCCATCTGTGGCCACCCCAGAGGACGCTGAGTCTCAAAAGCTCAACCCTCTTGGGCTACTCTCCCTCTCTGGCTCTGAAGGAAACAGGCCTTGGCTGACAGACGCTAGGTTAGCAGAACCAGGGCGCCCCCTCGGTCTGCGCTGCGTTACACAAAACCCGAGGGCAGGCGGGATGCAGCAGACACCTCTCTGAGCTGCTGACTCCACAGGGGAAACA